GTACCCCCTTCCCTGACTTGGATTGTGAGCCGCCCTGAGTCCCCTTCAGGGAAAAGGGCGGCATATAAATGCAATAAATTCAAATTTTGGGAGGCAAAAAATGGTGTATTCAGTGTATAAGACACACCCAGATTTTCAGCATCTTTTTTGAGGGAAAAAAGATTCGCTTATACAAGTTATTCTTTCAGGGGAAAAAAAAAGAAAAAAGAAACACCAACAGCTGCTAAGAGACTTAAGAATTTAACTTCTGTGTCCAAAACGTAATTCTCTGGTTTTTGAAGGTCTTAACACTAAACAGGGCAGTTTTATTCTTCGGCTTTGCAGCATCTCTCACAACTCGACTCAAGCCATAGCGTGAATTGTTTGAAGCTGCTGCAGCAAAACTCTGCGTGGAGTTTTATTTTTAAACATTTACTTTCCTTTTTAGAACTCTCTGTTGCTAATGTATGTCCCCTGTGCATTAACTCAGGAAGAATGTTAAACGTTTCTTGGTTAAGGTTGGAAAATGACCGATTTTGAATAGTGTGGGGGGAGTTAACATCTCCTATGTAGAGGTAGTCCTCAACTTACAACAGACAGAATCTTCCGGCAGCCAGCCCACAACCATAGAGCGCAGTCCTAGAACGGCCGCTGCTGGAAGACTCGGCAGCCGAGTTTTGGAGTTTGGAAGCCGGAGAAGAAGTTACGCTCGGAGCGCAGCGGCGGCTGGGCCAGGGCACGGTGAGGGTGGGAGGCATGCTTGCTAGGGGTGGAACAGGCGCTCGCGTAACCGCCCTCTCCAGCCGGGCAGAGCTCCATGTACTGACCTAGGGGGTATCCCTAATGTGCCAAGCTGTGGGAGCTGGGGAGCGGGCAGAGAGCCACGTGCCTTGGCTGTGCCCGGCTCTTTGGGAGCCCACTCACAAGGGAACAGCTGCCTGGCAACCCCAAAACAATAAGCCCTCCCTCTATAATAAGCCCAAGGCCATATTTCATGGGGCAAAAGAAAATAAGACCCTGTCTTATTTTGGGGGAAACACAGTATCTGTGTTAGTGTCTCTGAATTGCTACGCAATTTCTTCACACTACTTTTGGAGGCTCCATTCTGGCTCTCTTGCACAACTTCTTGAGGCCACACGAGAGCGTACCTCATTCTCACATGGCTTCTGCAGCTTCCGAAAATCCCGCCTGTACCTGGCGCACCTTTGAGGATATCAGATGGTGGCGAACACTGGTGTGCAATCCACAAATGTGAAGAATGAGCCAAAAGATCATTATTTTTTTAACTTTAGCTCATAATTCTGTTCCTTCAAATTTTAAGGGTTGCAAAGAGATTGTGTTGTGTTTAAGAGAAAAAAAATCTAAACTACTGTTAATTTTATATGTCTGCTCATGCTACATTTGTCGCAAAGAGGATATGGAAAAAAAATATTGTTTAATAGGCACTTCTGTTGCACATATAACTGACAAAATGGTAAATCTTGACCAATCTTTTTATTTGTGGACTTTCAGATTTTAAATGAGGAAATTGAGGCAGATTTTTATATCGCAGTGCCTGACATAACAACAAAAATTACCCATTTAAGGAATTTTCTGAAACAAAAGTACCCTTCCATCAAAAATGGTAAGAAAAGGATATTTATTTATTTATTTTTTTAAAAAAGAACTTTATTAAAATTTTAAAGGAAAGAGATAAAAATAATAACAACTAATAACTGAGTTAGAAGGGAGAAGAAAAAAGGTATCAAATCTTTCCACTTTTATGCATGTAAAAAATCCTGATGCTGTTATCTATATATATAAAAAGTGTGTGCGCGTGTGTGTATTAGGTTCTAGCATAACTCTGGAACGCCTCGAACAATTTCAACCAAACTTGGTTAGGTAGATAGGTAGATAAAGGGATAGAGAGAGGAAAAAAAATAGAGATATAGAGAGTGTAGGTAGGAAAGTAGGTAGAGGGATAGAGAGAGAGAAATAGAAAGATAGAGAGAGAAATACAGTAGATAGATAGGTAGGGAGATAAAGTAGGTAGGTTGGTAGGTAGAGGGATAGAGAGAGAAAAATATATATATAGAGAGAAATACAGTAGGAGAGAGAGAGTAGGTAGGTTGGTAGGTAGAGGGATAGAGAGAGAGAGAAATATATATATAGAGAGAAATACAGTAGGGGAGAGAGAGAGAGTAGGTAGGTTGGTAGGTAGAGGGATAGAGAGAGAGAGAAATATATAGAGAGAGAAATACAGTAGGTAGGGAGAGAGAGAGTAGGTAGGTTGGTAGGTAGAGGGATAGAGAAAAATACAGTAGATAGGGAAAGAGAGAGTAGGTAGGTAGCTAAAGGGATAGAGAGATAGAGAAATACAGTAGGTAGGGAGAGAGAGAGAGTAGGTAAGTTGGTAGGTAGAGGGATAGAGAGAGAGAAAAATACAGTGGATAGGGAGAGAGAGAGTAGTTAGGTAGGTAGCTAAAGGGATAGAGAGATAGAGAAATACAGTAGGTAGGGAGAGATAGAGTGTGTAGATAGGTAGAGGGATAGAGAGAGAAATAGAGAAATAGAGAAATACAGTAGATAGGTAGGGAGAGAGTGAGTGTGTGTAGGTAGGTAGGTGGAGGGATAGAGAGAGAGAAATAGAGAGAGAAATACAGTAGATAGGTAGGTGTTTCTGCTGGTACAACATTTGATCCATGTAATTCTCATCAATCAGTTAAAGAGCTTTCCGAAAGCGGGGAAAAAAGTTTTTGCACTCTTCAAACCTCCCAAAAACGAAAACAGACCCGTTTTTCCCCCCAAAAAAGCATGAATAGCCTTGGGGGGGCTTGCAGAGTGCTCCTAGGGGGGTGGGGGTGGGCAAAAATGAGCAAAAAACGGCCCGTTTTACGTGGAAACGGGCCCGTTTTTTTGTCAAACAAATTGCATGCATAGCCTTACGGAGGCTTATAGAGTGCTGCTGGGGGGCAGAAAATGGTCTGTTTTTCGCTCATTTCTGCCCACCTCAGCCCCCAGGAGCTCTCTGAAAGCCTCCATAAGGGTATGCATGGCCATTTTGGTGAAAGGTGTGGGGTTTCGGGAGGCAAAAAAAAATGCTGTATTTGGTGTATAAGACGCACCCAGATTTTCAGCCTCTATTTTGGGGGGAAAAGGTGCATCTTATACTCCGAAAAATACAGTAGGGAACATTGAATTTAACTCTACTTTGTGGGGTTTTCTTCTCTTCTTTTTTTTGAAACAGGTACTATTACTTACAATATCCCCGAGACGCTTAATTTCTTCAAAGTCTGCCATGAATATGCAGTGACCGACGACAACCTCATTCAAACCCCGTTTGCAATGGTACGCTTTACGAGGCATATACGAAAATAAGCACCAACACACTTGTTTCTTTCCATTTCCATTTTTGCTTTTTTGAAACGGGTCCTTCAGCAGAACATAGTAGTTAGTGCCATGATGGCAAACCTATCGCACACGTGCCAGAGTTGGCACGTAGAGCCCTCTCTGTGGGCACGTGCACCATAGCCAGCTGCTCTTCTGGCTTCTGGTGCGCATATGTGCGCCAGGCAGCTGGTCTTCGCGGGCACCAGAGCACCTAAAAACGGGCCGGAAAAAGGCTGTTTTGGGGGACGCTTTTGGACTAAAAATGGCCCAGAATAAAGCCAAAAAAACAGGTTTTTTGAAGCTCCTATTACTGTTGGTACAACCATTGATTTCTTCCTCCATAGTTGCTCCACTTCAATTTGCAAATCATGATGTTTTGTTATTTATTTATTTTTTGCTATTATTATTTGTTCCTGAAATCTGAGCAAGTTGCCATTTCTCATTCTGGGTTGGTAAAATGTTTGAAGTTCTGGCCATTAAATAAATCTTTACTGGTAGTCCTCAACTGACTTAATTGAGCCCAGAATTTCCATAGCTAACCAAGACAGTTGTCCAACTTCCCTTGGGTTGGTGGAGAAGACTCCTGCATTGAGTCCCTTGGACTGCAAGGCCATCCAACCGGTCAGTCTTAGAGGAGATCAACCCGGACTGCTCTTTAGAAGGCCAGATCCTGAAGAGGAAACTCAAATGCAGCCCCGCGAGCGATTGTGGGTGCGCCTCGATACACCCACGTTACATCTATCCTCCGTGAGCTGCACTAGCTACCTATTGGTCTCAGGATACGCTTCAAGGTGCTAGTCGTCACTTATAAAGCCCTNATATATATATATATATATATATATATATATATATATATCTTTTACATTTAAGGTTCTTTTGTAACAAGTATGAGCATTCGAAGTTCAACCAGCGAAGCCTTAGATGTGAAAGTCGAACAATTTCTCCCCAAAGGAGCTCTGGGACAGAACTCGGAAGAAGCTGAAAAGCTCAGCGAAGAAGAAAAGCAAGAACCGGATGATTAGAAGGCTGCAGAAATGACATTTCCCTTGTTATAAAAAATTGTAAAGGGCAGTTCTTGTAGCTTCATCCAGAGTTTCCTTCAACTTCTGGTCCCGAATGGGAAGTTTGCACCAATTCCGGAGATCACTGAATTGTCTCCCAAAATGAAAGCTCCTCAGCGCTGTTAGATCATCAGTCCCCAAAATTTGGGGCCTAGAAATATCTTAGAATTTCCGTATTTTTTGGAGTATAAGACACACCCGAGTATAAGATGCACCAAGATTTTGAAGAGGCAAATTAAAAAAAAAAAGTTTTTGCACTCTGTAGATCTCTCCAAAACGGCCCGTATTTCATGAAAATGAGCCCGTTTCCCCCCCCCCAAAAGGGCATAAATAGTGTCAGGAGACTTGCAGAGTGCTCCGGTGGGGGGGGGGCAAAGTGAGCAAAAAGGAGCACATTTTTCGCTCATTTTTGCCCTCTCCAGCCTCCAGGAGCACTCTGGAAGCCTCCTAAAGGCTATGCACAGCCATTTTGGTGAAGGGCGCAGGGTTTCTTGAGGTAAAAAAAACTATATTCAGTGATAAAGCACACCCAAATTTTCATCCTCTTTTATGAGGGAAAAGGGTGCGTCTTATACTCCAAAAAATATGGTACTAATATTACAGGCTCAGCCTGTCTGGAGAGCCTGCCTGCGCTGACACTAATGTTTCAGTGCAAACCATTCTCCGTTTGTAAAAAAAGATGTCATTGCACGTTTTATTAAAAATGAAAAGCTTCGTGTACAGTTTTGATTAATCGTGGAAGCCCTCATGTCCCTCTGGTTTCTGTTTTAGTTGTGTGTTTTTCAATCCACAGACAAATTGATTATATCTTTAGTTTACTTTATTGCACCTCGTACAATGAAATTAAATGCCATCTTCGGTGTCCATTATACGTAAAGAACAAAACTCAAGCAAGCATCCTTCACATTCTATACAATTGAATTAAATTGAATTAATTATTAATAATTAATTTGAATTAATAATTAATTAATTCAATTGAATTAATCAATTGAATTAAAAAACCCTAATATTGCATTAATATTGCGCTATGCCAGGGGTCAGCAACCTTAAACACTCAAAAGAGCCACAAAGGTCCTAACCGGAAGCCCCCCATTCAATTCTGNCAGACTGTGGGGGCGATGTGCTGACTCTGTAAACCGCTTAGAGAGGGCTGAAAGCCCTATGAAGCGGTATATAAGTCTAACTGCTATTGCTATTAATTGACGAGAAAATGCATTGATAAAATATTGACCTGATCCCCGCAGTTTTTATAAACCCTGACAGCATTTATTGTTTACTTTTTCGTTTATTTTTTTCATTCCCTTTTTCAGCTGGACATGCCTAATGATCAGATTCTTGCCAATCTGGACAGTATTATTAAGGACATTTGCAAACACAAAACTTTGAAACACGGTGAGCTGCTCTTGTTTAAAATTTCTTAATCGATGCTGATAGCTAGTGATATTGCCCAAATGAATATAAGTTGGAGGAGTGGGGGTACCATTTTGCTAGCTGCAAGGAGAAAACAGTAAAATAATAATAATAATATGCATTCCCATGCTAAACAATAAAAACAGTAACAGGGAAAATATCAGCGCAAAATTGCTTAAAAGCGCTATTGCTAATCATTTTGCTTCACATCTGCAAGTCATCTTCCTCCCTCCCTTCAGAGGGAAATTTCTAAAAAAAAAACCCACACTTTTGCATTCTTTTAAAGAAGTTGTTTTGGGAGTTTTGAGAAGAACCTTCTGCTTTAAAGTGGCCGAATTATTAATGCTGAAAAGTCCTGTTTTTTGTTTCCTGCAGAATTACTCAGTTAGAAAAAAAAAATAATTTCTCCCTGCCAGGATGGGAAACATTTGTGCAGGAAGTTCCTATCTTGGAAATGTTTGGAAGGGCCTTGAAGAACCCTTATCAGATGTTTTGAACTCCAAGTAAAATGTTTGGGGTTCTGAGAATTTTGTTTTAAGGTCAGGGCGCACCGCATCATTTTTTATGTTGGCGTCAGAACAATCTGTGACTGTTTTCAAGGACTTGACTGAGTGTTCCAGCTCTTTTGAGGGTATCGGTTAAGCTGTTTTTCTCCTGCAAGGACAACTCCTGGAACACACAGGGATTAGAATGGTTTGTGGGTTATTATTATTATTATTTTTGCAGAGTCTGGAAGACAAAAATGTCCTTGATTTATGATCACAATTGAGCCTCAGATTTCTGTTGCTAACCAAGACAGTTGCTAAGGGAGTTCCTCCCCGTTTTATGACCTTTCTGGTCACAGTTGTTGAATCACTGCAGGTTGTTAAGTGAACAAAGCGGGGGTGAAGCAAATATATTTTCTCCAATGGGTATTTCTTGCCAGAAACTGGAACTAAATCCTGGTTTCTAGTTGTTGTTGCTTTAAGTTGTAAATCATGGTCACGTGGCTATGGGAGAATATAAATGAGGGCCAGTTGCTGAACACCAAAAAATGTGATTATTTGACTGGTAGGGGACACTGCCCGAACTTCAAATCTGGATTTTAAATAGCCTGGGAAGAAACACGTATGTACCTGCTTAAATCTCTTCCACTGACATATGAGAAGCTCAAAATGCATAGTACAGTATATGTGGTACCTCAATAGTAGTAACTCTGAGAGGGATCTTGGAGTCCTAGTGGACAACCATTTAAATANCACTCTATAATTCTACTATGCATTTTCTATTGTGGGAAAATGGGAGGGGGGATTGCACGGAGTTAGAGGATATGTAGCCATAACAACATTCTTTCTAGAAAGCCAAGGTCATCCTTCGTCTTTACACCTCGGCACCTGGCTGGAACTGGATGGGTGGAACTGCCAGCATGGCAATGGAAGATTGGACCATGTGATGGACTTGTGGGCGTGGGGGCAAGATCTTGAACTTTTCAACTGAGTGTGGAAAATCGGGAAGCTTTCAAATTCAGGTTTTCCCAGATGTGCCAAAATGACTCTCTTAATAAATTGGAACTTTGAGGAATCCTTTGCCTCGGACTCTGATTTAATTTTGGATGCTACTTGGAACTCTGACATGAGGCTGTAATTAAGAAAATACTAGAATGTGCAGAAATTGACAGATTAACACTTCTTATTAAGGATAAAGAAGGAACTGAATATTTTCTGACGTGGGATGTATTTTATTGAATGGTTAGACAATAGAAACAGAAATTAGAAGGAGATATAAAAAAGAGGAAATGTTAATGTGGAGGGAATTAGATGATGATGTTATGCATTATAGTAATTGTATTAATATATAATACTATTGTTGTGACAAATATAATAACAAATATGTGGATTATGACTGTTTTAATAACTGTACCCAGATCTCACACTGTTTGATGGAAATGGAAAGTAACATAAATAAAATAAATAAAACATGAAAAAGAAAAGTGTATAATCACAAACAGAAAATATTGTTTTAAAATTGTATAAGCATCAATATTTTCTACTATTGCTGATCGTATTACCATAAACTTTTATCTGATACATTTTCTAATATAGCTTCTAACCAAGTTTTCCAGTGCCGTTTTTCAACTGATAAATGATCCAAACACTTTTAACATTCAGCAACTAGCAGTTTAGTTTTCCAAAAGAAAAAAAAGTAAACTTCTTGACATTTATCCCAATATTTTCTCTATTGAAGATAGACTATAATCTTTGTTTCGATAACTCTGCAATTCATCAAAACCCTTTTTTGCCAAAATATTTCCCATTTTCACATGTTCCACAGACAGGATCCCTTCTGTCGGTTCCCTCCCTCCAATTTGGTGGGAGAGTTTTGTACAATTCCTAAGGGGACAGAAATCTCCCAACACCGCAATGCTTGCCAGATATTGTCCAGCTGTCTTCCCAGATAAATCTCTCTCAAGTTTCTTTTGAACTCCAGGAAGGATTTCGTCTGTCTCTTTTCCAATAACCACATACAGCGAATACAGTATGCAAGTTACAGCTCTGAGCGAGGAGGAGAAGCAGTATTTTGCAAAATTTGTTAATAGGGGATTTACAAATTCCATTAGTCTCCCAGTGTGTGGGAATGTGTTAATTTGAATCCATAAAGCGCACATTTTATATCTAAATGCTGTTCTTGCTCTTGAGTAGATCTCAGTAGCAAGTACAAACCCCCAATAAGCTACATACTCACAGTCTGCCAATCATTAAACTCTCATACATGTATGTATGCTTATGTATGGGTGTGTGCACATGCATGCGTGTTTGAAGTCAGCAGCAGACATTGTAATGTTTGCAATTTAGGAATAACTAAATTATTCCTGTGCATTGTAATGTTTGCAATTTAGGAATAACTAGCTGATAACCCAGCTCTGCCCAGGTATTGATTTATCTCAACCTTCATTCCATGAACAACACCGCAATTTCTAATGTTGGATTTTCCCCCTTACCAGAGGGAGCCCCCTTGTGGAATACATGGCAACTCCACAGTGCTGCACAGTAGAGGCCATTTTAAGGCACAACAGGCCGTATCTTAACAGAACACACATCCCGAGGCAGTGGTGGGTTCCCGATCGGCATCCAGATGAACGCTCGCAGCGCACATATGCATCTTAGTGCCTCTGCAACAGTCCAACTGCTCGGCAGAGTGTCATGCAGGTGCTGTATGCGCCATGCACATGCGCAGAAGCGCCAAAGACTTAAAAGACCGGTAAGGAGCTTGGGCAGGCGGGTGAGTGGGTGGGTGGACCTGGCGGCATCCACATGGATGTGTGCAGCATGCGCAGCGGAGCATCGCACAGGCGCTATACACGCCGTGCATGTGTGCGGAAGCGCCAAAGACTTAAAAAAACAGTAAGGAGATCGGGTAGGCGGTTGGGCCCTCTGGAGCGCTGTACCTGAACAGTATCCGGTGCTCCAGGCAGGCTCCGGTATGCCCGTACCGGGGCATACCGCCTGCAAGCCACCACTGCCCCGAGGGGTATTAGGGGTGTTTTATCCCCACAGTATTTGTTTCCAGAGAGTAAGGCATCTGTGTACTAAGTTTGGTTGAAATTGCTGGAGGCGTTCCAGAGTTATGCTGGAACACACACACATTTTAGATAGATAGATAGATAGATAGATAGATAGATAGATAGATAGATAGATAAGAGATAGATAGATAATAGATAGATAGATAGATAGATAGATAGATAGATAGATAGATAGATAGATAGATAGATAGATAGATAGATGATAGATAGATACAGCTAGCTAGCTAGATAGATGATAGATAGATATAGATAGATAATGATAGATAGATAGATAGATAGATAGATAGATAGATAGATAATAGATAATAGATAGATAGATGATAGATAGATATAGATAGATAATGATTGATAGATAGATAGATGATAGATAGATAGATAGATAGATAGATAGATAGATAGATAGATAGATAGATAGATGATAGATACAGATAGATGGATGGATGGATGGATGGATAGATGATAGATAGATAGATAGATAGATAGATAGATAGATAGATAGATAGATAGATAGATAGATAGATAGATAGATAGATACAGCTAGCTAGCTGGATGG